TTCAGTGGCCGAACGCCCGTCAGTCGAGCTTGAGTCAATGGAAGTCGGGACTTCGGAGTCCGGGAGGGAAGTTTCCAACTGATGGGGTGAAAGCCGGGGACCAGCGGCTTTGGAGGGGATAGAAGTTGATGCCCTCTTGAACCTAAAGAAAGGGAATAAAAGAATAAATAACACTTGAATTAGTATCATGCACGGGAAGAATCAAAAATCATAGAGGTTGAACTTACTAGATGAGGATCGACATGTTGGCCGACACGACTTGGTTCCGGGGCCACAGTCGATGGGTGAATCTGGAAAAAGTAAAAGAACAAAAACAACATGTCAGTAATCAGAGAAGGGATATGGATGAGAAAGAAGAAGACGACGTACCGGCACAGGAACCTTAGTCTCTGGAGAGTTTACCGGGGTGAAGGGACGCACCGGTCCTGAAATCATGAATTTATTTGCATGAAGTTCGGCGGGAGAGGCCGAAGAGGCTGGGCCAGCGAGAACGGCCTGAAAACCCTAGAACATCAATAGATTTAACCATCATCAGCTGGGTAAGAGAGCGAGGAAAGATAGAAGGAAAAGACTTACGGAACGAGCAACCGGAGCGCCATTGGGGGCCTGTGTAGATGATGAAGAAAAGAAGGGAGTCAGTCATCAGGATTATAAGGGTCGAGAGAAAGGAAAGAACGTACCTGGGACGGACAGACGGGCGTCTGGTCGTTGGCGGCTTGAGCCTTAGAACTACGGGTAGTAACCATCTTGGGGAAATAGGATGTGGGCGGTGGTTTCTTGAAGTAAAAAGTGTGGAGTCTTGAGGATGTCGCGGTTGAGTGAATAGCTGGGGAAGAGGTCAAGGAGGACGAAACGAGGCAGCCTTTATATACTCGAGAGTGGAAGGCAAGGAAGTGGCGGCGAAGTCGAGCTTTCTCAGGGGGACCCCATTGACCCCCCTGAGGACTGAATCGGTCAAGCATAACAAAGAAAAAAGGAAGTGGATTACCTTTGGTGGCCGATACACGAATAAGGATATAAAAAGATCGAGTCGAAAGTCGTAAGGATCGGCCAGCAAAGGAAGCCGAGTTGAGGAGGAATACGAAGGCCTGGGTCAACCAAAAAAAAGAAGGATAGGGATCGGCCAGGAAAGGGAGAAGACTGGGATAGACCAGGAAAAGGATGGGACCGGATTGATGTCGTCTTTGGGAGAATACACTACCGGGACGGGACCGGCGACGATGAAGGAGGATCGACAGGTTTCTGTTGGCAATGGATAGGAAGAGAGGGCAACACGTGAGGGTCGACGGTTTATTTTAGGCTACATACTACCGGTTTGAGACCGAAGAAGAAGAGAAGACCGTCGAAGATCGGCAGATTTAAGAGGCCGGGGCAGCTATCGAGGATGGCAGCGCGGCCAGTACAGGGGATATTCTGCAAAGACGAATCGAACAGAAAAACGTTAGCGCGGGAAAAAAAAAAAGGAGAGCAGATAATTAAGACTTACTAATTTGCGGATCCCATCGTCGAGGAGAATCGTCGAGGAGAATCGTCGGGGAGATCGTCGAGAAAATCGGTGGATAGGCGGATAGACGAGGTGGGGAAGCGATTAGGGGGAGAGAGGAGTTGAGGGAGGCATATCCGCTACCGGGCCGGTGCAGATAGGCTAGGGTATAGTCAAGAGCAGTGAAAGGCTTGTGAAAGGTCTCCGAAACGGAGAAAGACTAGCAAACAACTTGGGAGCGGACGGCGCGGCTTTCAGGACTACTGCGCGCGCAGCAGCTCAAACCAAGGGCTGTGAAATTTTCTGTGAAAGGCGCAAAGTCAACTGTCACCTCATAAACTCCAAATTTGGAGTCAACCAACCGGACCTCAGTTCAAGTCCCCAACTAGGCAAAACCCAACACGCCACATAATTCAACACCAAGGACATGGGTTCCAATCCCACCCTTGAACAAATTTTATACACAATCAATACTGGGTTCAATTCTCACCCAAGGAGTAAATTTCTGAGAAATAAGAAGGCTCCTCTGTTCAATTCCCAGTCTCAACCAAACATAACCAGGGAATTTTGGATAATTAAATAAACATAAAAATTATCAAAGTTTATTATTATCATTACACAATCTAAATTTAAAATCTACCATACAAGATACATAAGTTTTAGCCTTCAAACACAGTCATAAAAATCAGAATTGACTGGGGACAGTCAATAAGTTGGGGGAGGATGTGGTCATTATTCCTGTGTATGAAGGGAAGAAAATTCAAAATTTTATTATTTATCAATCAAGGACTCAAGATACGGACAAATGGACATCAGAAATGGAATCTACGGCCAATTTAACCCCTAGTCACTCACTGGAATCACCTTCATATCTCTACTGGATCAGAAGTTACACGGATCAAGGATGTCACACGGAGAATCACAGGATCAGAGGCACTCAGCTGGGGGTATATTGCATGGGGGTATATTGCATATTGCATATTGAATTCCTTTTATCAATATTGAATTCCTTTGATACTTACAGAACCACAAGTTGGCCACCAGTTGTACCAGTTAAATTCCCATTTATTCAGCCACAGAACACATGAATTCCTTTCTTACAGCTTACATATAAAAGGAATGCGTTGTAGATAGTCTAGCCAAAATCCCTCAGGATTTTCAAGGATAGGGCAGCTAAAATGCCTCATACAGGGGGTCCCTTGGGGCTAAAATCCCTCATAATTTACTATATAAGGAGGCCTCTGCCTGCCAGTTGTTTCCCTCCTCATCCCACTCAGTACACATTTTTGGTGGGACACCTGTCACAGATATTTATTACACAAGAGGTTCACAAGTAGTACAGTTCACAGTTGAAATATATACACAGTTTCACAAACATTACACAGAAGAACCAGTCCTTTGTTCCAGTCCTGGTTGAAGCATAGTGCTCCCAGACCCTTTGGGTTCAAGAACCACCTCTATTACATATACAGCATTAAGGAAGAATACAAGTATCAAGACATCAAGACGAGAAACAACATCACCAACTCAACCAATTCTTTGGACAACAAGATCAACCTTCAACAATTATACAACCATCTTTGAACATAATCCATTATCACCAACCAAACTGCCAAGCTTACCTTGGTGGTCTTGTTTTCTGATAATATAGAAAGGCAGAGTTTGCAGCTCATTCATCCCTTTCTCCATTCAGCAAAAAGGATCTTACAATCACTTTTTGAGTCTTACAACGTGTGCCCACCACCAAGTCCCCCACTCCCAGGAGTTCAGCAGAGGAACCGGGATCAAGTAGTAACTCATCTGCCAACACGGATTCCAATGTTTCAAACTCAGACAATTGCAGCAGATCATCTACTCACTCATATAAGCTCCGGGTTAGAAAGCAAATGTTGTACGATATGAGTGAACAGGAATCAATTGGGTCAGATGGAGAGTCTTGTGCAAGTGACAAGACTGCGAGACAACAAAGAAAGGGAAAAATACATGATCAGGAGGCGGAGAAATCGGACAGAGGAATTCGGCTTACTGCAGAAGAGCTTGATGTGGTTAGAAGAACCATCATGCACACCACAGTGCCCTCTTGGATGGACCGTGTGCCTCGGAACTTGGGGGCAGCAAATCACGGATCCCTGAAGGCTGCAGAATGGTTGATCCTGTACAAAGTATACTACACCATCTCGTTGATTCCACTCTGGACTAAACCAAACACTGGCTTGGAAACACAGGAAGAGAGGAGCCGCACTTCTGCCCTCCTCCGATCAACCACACTTTTATGCCAAGTTACACAGTTCCTCACTCTTCCAGTTATTAAAAAAAAGGATCTTGACGAGTTTGATGATCTACTACAAAACTACCGTAAATGCCTTCAAGAGAATTGGCCAGAAGAACCCAGTCGTCCGAACCTACACCTGACCCAACATTACCCTGAGGTTATACGGAGGTTGGGCCCACCTAGATCAACAGCAGCATGGGCCCAAGAGCGGGTGAATGGAATTCTGCAGAAGCTCCCCACCAATCATCATCCTGGTATGTTCCTAACATTATATCTTCTTGAGGAGTGTGTCACCATGCTAAACAAATAAATACACCTATCTTCTGCAGACGAGATGCCCAAGACAATTTTGAAAGAATGGCATGTCAATTCAAGCTTCAAACTGCTATTGAATAGCCAAATGAAAGATCCCACAATACAAGATTCAATGTCCAAGTCAAAAAACACGGAGCAGTTTGAACTTGAAGGGTCACACTTGACCAAGTGGAAACGTGCTGTTCTTGGCAAAGCCGCTACAAGGGGGAAGCTTGGCAGTAATGAACTTTCTCTCAGTCCAAAGGTTGTTGCTCAGAAGGCTTTTGAGATCCACCAGAAACGATTTACCTCCTGCAGGGGACACAAGGGGAATAGTTTGGTGGAGTTTTTTCTGGGAAAGGACCAAAGGTTTGGTGAAATCCAAACAATTTTCACATCCAAACAAACACCCGGAAAGACTTGGATAATTGTGAATCCATTCAAAGAAGTACAAAGGAACGAAGATCCATAACGAGATTATCCTGATCTTAATTGCCGGCTGGTTCAGTCTGATCATGAGGTGGAGGTGGTGCTTGACACCGAAGCAGTCATAGGACACTGTGCAATTTTGAGGCACCAATGTGGTACTTTTGGCATCTCAAAGGAGACCATCAGCGCAGTTGGATTGGGAACATCTGATAAGCACCCCTTTAAATAAAAGTTTGTTCACATGATACATACACTAA